TTTAACCTACGAAGTAAACACCATTTAAGACTACGAAAAGAAAATTTTTAGGATTATTAACGTCGTGATAAAGAAACAGCCTTACGCTCCAACACGGAATCGAAAACTGCTCAGATTTATTTACTAACGAGAATGTTTCTTGAGAGGAACGAGGGTGAAGAAAATAATTTTGGTCAAATGGTACAAATGAAAAGAAAGCTTACAACTCATTATTGCTCGTGTTTTGTTAGCATGCATAAAAATTAACAGCTTCTATAAGATCTCTGTAGCGGCTTCCTTATATAGCTCTTCGCTCAGAACAATTCAGCATAATTCCCAACCTCCCAGCATGCTGAGCTTTAAGTGGATGAAGATGTTTAATAATTTAACACTGCATCATCAGATCTGAAAGTGAATGAACAACATAATGCAATTATTGAGAAAATCTGCATATTAACACAGAACAATGAATACAAACAGACCTAGCTGCAAACACTGGCATGCTTACATCAAATGAATATCAAATAATTACCACTTAATAATTAATCACTAGTGTCAAATTAGCCACCAGTATCAGATTAATCACCAGTATCGGATTAATCACATTATCAGATAAATCACCAGTATAATATTAATCACCAGTATCAGATTAATCACCAGTATCAATTTAATAACCAGTTTCAGATTAATCACCAGTATAATGTTAATCACCAGCATCAGAATAATCACCAATATCTTATTACACCAGTTAAGTCCACAGGAACGCACAGGCCAGTAAAAATTAACTATGCAATGAACAGGTAATGCTAACATGTAACTCCGACAGGTGAAGCGACTGGACCTCCGACACTGGCCAGAGACACACGAATAATGGCCGGCAAAGAGATCCGGAGTTCGCTATCTGCTATTCTAGTGGTTGATGCTGAAAAATAAATCTTGAATTAAATATTTTATCTTAAAAGTTAATGAACTTCGGCTACAATATTCCAACAATATCTTAGAACCGGTGAATTGGTCAGTGCTGCCGCCTGCCGGTGAGAAATTCACCTCGACATCTTCCACTGGAAGCACCTGCGACGGCAGATAAAAAGCTTCCAGCCATGGCCTGGAGTGTCATTTTGGTCAGGCGCTCAGAGAGGCAACCTTTGCAGGTGAGCATAGCAAGATGGATTAATTTAATTTAATTATACTACACAAGTGAGAATCTTACGCAATGATGCAGGCATGGCAACCTGATCTAGATAGTCAGGGAATTTCCCAAGCATACTGTAACGAAGCGCAAATGTTATATACCAGTAAACAGATCTCTCTAATATTTTTTTAATGAACACATTAATTAAAAAATGGCTACATTTGCATATCTTATAATATATAATATCTCTGACTGTGAATATAATAAAAAATATCGCAAAGTGCGGCGAAGACGCTGTACGGCCACGACACCGAAAATTAACATTACTAGAAATGTGTGATTATTGCATATTGATTAGTCTTCTTTGCATCACGAAATGTAACCCACAAACATGAGACTTCAGGTAATGTGATCATGAAAATCATCACGCTCTTTTTATGAGATTTGTAAGCAGTTAGCAATGATCTTCGAAGGAATGTTATCGAATAATCGAAATTTAAATAATGCCAAACCACAAGAGAATGCAACTCACACTTTCTTCTTCGCAGGAATTTCGGTATCAAGAAGAAGCAAAGCCAGGCGAGCGTCGGAGCCGCCGTCATGAAGTCCATTATATTTAGTCTTTTGCTCTGCCTCGTCGCCGCGCGAGTGCCGATCAATCAACGCTACGCAAGTCAGGTAAAGTTATTCGAGGTTATGAATCAAAATATTTAATTTTGTCGATTTGAAACTAAATTAAAATTGTGAAACAATATTTTCCCAGCCTATGTTCCCTGTTGTTTAGGTTAGACAGATGCACGAGATACTCTAGCATTTGTGATAAATATTGTATAAATATATAGACTATTGTGTGAATATTTTATGGCCACAAGGGTTGCTTGAAAAATACTTCTATAAATTAATTAGGTTATTTATATTAGACATTATTTTTTTCTCATCGAATTTGTTTTCATGGTGAATGGTCACCACAACAGATAAGAAGATTTATTATGAAATATTTGAACATTGATTTATTTTGACAGACTCAGCCGGAAAAAGACAAAACTTGGAGTGATATGGATACAAGCTCAGGGCAACCAAAAACTATGCCTAAGCCACGACAAACGTGAGTATAATCAGATAGAGAATTAAATAGAAAAAAGTTCATAAGAAACTATTTAGTTTGTAATCTGTCTTCGCTGTTCCCAACAAAGCCTGACATGCCTGAATTATGTGCACAACATGTCAGAATTACGTGCACAACATGTCAGAATCACGTATATAACATGCCAGAATTACGTGCATGCCGTGCTAGAATTACGTGCATGCCATACCAGAATTCCATGTGTGACGGAACCCAAATCTTGGGAAATATTTTTGTTGAGAACGTAGTAATGACTGGACTTGGATCAACTTCATTATTAGATTCGAATTTTTATATTATATATTACGTTAAAATATGACTTAATAATGCGTACATATATTCATTTTATAACAAAAATATTGGATCTCGTTAAACTGTGATATTATTTTGTTAATTCGTAGGATTTAGTTATTAGCGTCTTGGGACGAGAATGTCTTGTAGCTCCAGCGTGATGGTCGAGTTGCTGGAAGCCTCGGGTCGGTGCGCGTTTATTCCCCTCGATAGTCTTGGACGATGGAGAGCTTGGTCTCTTTTGAATTAGTTTAGGATTATTCGACTGCTAACTTGTGTATAATTTGCAAAAGGATTAAACTTATGATTACTTTATTGTATTGTATTGTATTACCTTCTTTTGTACCTGAATTGTGATGCTAGTCCATTTTGTTGCGCTGTAAACGAGGTATTGTGGTAAGGTTATTTTAGCTGAGTTACCCCTCGCGGGCAAATTGTGTGTGCTCAGATTGACTGGGTGGAGGTCCAACGCTTACACTCGACATCATAGAGCCCAATCTGGGCTTCCGAGACACCAAACGATAGCTAGTGAAGAGATCCACCAGCCGACTAGTGGGCGAAATACGGCGAAGGTGGTGATTTTGGCTAATTACCGTTCACGCCTCCCGTGAACCGTACCGTTCACGCCTCCCGTGTCGTGGAATAAATACCTTCCACGCTCGGGAGTAATCGGAATTTGGCACTGTATTGGGGCTAGTCCCCAAAGTCTCTGCGGCTGGTGTTGGCATCTCAGTGAAGCTAGTTCCCGTACCATTTGCTGTCCATTTTGTGATTCTTGGCAGTGTATTAGGGCCAATTCCCCCAACTCTCTGCAGCTGGTTGTGGTCAACTCCGCGCGGCTACATAGTTCTCGTGCCATTGGAAGGAAATTTTTGTGATTCTCGGTAGTGTATTAGGGCTAGTTTCTCTACTCTCTGCGGTTGGTTGTTGGCATCTCGATGCGGTTAGTTTTCGAACCATTTGCTGTCTATTTTGTTATTATTGGCAGTGTGTTAGAACTATTTCTCCTATTCTCTGCGGCCGGTTGTTGGCATCTTGATGCGTTAATTCCCGCGCCATTTGCTGTCCGCTTTTTATTACTCTCAGCTGTTTATTAGACTTCATGCTCGAGTTTCTCGTTGCTCTTTCTACTCCTGAAGTTGCAATCCTTTTTCCGTGAACTTTTGGACTAAGACAAATAGTGAATTGTGCGCCCTTGTATGAAGAAAGTTGTAAATTGCTTGAAGATTACCAGTATACTATGAAAAGTTCCTTGTGTTCATCCTCCTCTATCCAACGCCAGAGAATTTAGAGCCGGACCAAAGAGCGACTCATTAGCCCCTTGTGTTTAAAATTAGTACGAAAGTCTCCAACAAGTCGGCCATAATTATTTCAACGCTACCCGTGATTATTTCAACTTCGCGGTGGTGTTTCCGGTTACACATGCATGCCATTCTAGAATAACGTGCATGTCATGACAGAATAACGTGCATGCCATGCCAGAATTGCGTGCACAACATGCCAGAATTACGTGCATGCCCTGCCAGAACTACCAGCATGCCATGCCTGAATTACGCGCAGGAAAAGATTAAGCAGGCAATGCTATTCGTTCATCGCAATTTGCAGGCTCCAGCTAAAAGGTGGAATTTAACGAGATCTTGTACTTGATTTTGTGCCAGGTAAAACGGACCGCGAACAACTATCTTATTTAAATATTCATTTATGCTTATTGTTATTTCAGTCAGCCTATATAATTTCATGCAAGAAATAATAAGCTGTGGCATTATGTTTGGAGTATTTGATACATGATGTCATAAATTGGTTATTGTATTTTATTGCAATAGTTCAATCTTGACTAAATGTGATATTTTTTATTTTACGTATTAATGTTTCTCTTAATTAGCTATATGGCTATAAATGTTCAATTTTTCATCGTCAATAACGCTTGAATTATTAATGTATTACTATCACATGTGTACTTAATTCAATCAAATGACTATCGATATATACGTGTTCTGTTTATATTCGACAGGATAACATATAAAGACGACACAACAACATGCTTCATCTGTACAAAAGTAGTTGCTAAACCTACTGCCAAACCTTCGTGCCTGCTGTGTAGCGCTGATATCTCAATACTTGTGTGCGGTAATTGTCCAAGTCCCAAATATAACACCACTATACAACCTGACGGAACACGTATTACGTGCTTGATATGTCCGCCTACCACGTCAAAAACCGCTACTCCCACCGCTACGCCTACCGATACTTCCACCGCTACAAATACCGTTACACCTACCGCTACATCTACCGCTACACCTACCGCTACACCTACCGCTACACCTACCGATACTCCCACTACTACACCCACCACCACTACTTCATCCACCACCACCACTACTTTACCCACCACCACTACTACACCCACCACCACTACTACACCCACCACCACTACTACACTCTCTTATACACATCTAGATGTGTATAAGAGACAGAATGTCATGCGTCTGGCTCGTTATTAATAATCGAATAAATAACCAGTGAAAAAATCTGATGATCATGCAACAGTCTNACCACTACTACACCCACCACCACTACTACACCCACCACCACTACTACACTCACCACCACTACTACACCCACCACCACTACTACACCCACCGCCACTACCACACCCACCGCCACTACTACACCCACCACCATCACTACTACATCCACCACCACCAATACTACACCCACCACCACTACCACACCTATATTAACCATTTTATCCACCTGCACCATACCTACCACACCCACCACCACTACTACACCCACCACCACTACACCAGTCCCTCCATTGCAAGCAAACGTGACTGGCACCTGCCAAGTGACCGTAAACGAATTTTACTTCAACGTTACGAGCCCCAACTATCCTGCCGACCATCCGCCCAGTTCCTACTGCCTCATCAAGTTCTCATCGGTCAGTGTTCGATTATCAATACTAACGTGGCGTTCAATACTGTCAATGTCCAATAAGCAAAGGTTAGGATCTAAACGATGCAGGTGTTCTCTTATCCAACAAGTATCGAGTCAAATACGAGTTGATCTCATGAATGATATGAGCAGAATTCGATTCGCTGATCATGTCTTTTCAAGATGACAATTTCTTAAACTAAAAATAATTGGTTTAGCATAGCCTTATTGACAATAAATCTAATCTTCACTAGGATCAGAATCGATTTGATTTAATCGATGCTCAGTTTTTTAATATTTTGGAATAAATAAACGGGTACTATGTTTGCGTCACGGCTTGTATTGGACGCTGTGAGTTTTCTTTTCTTGGGATCCATTATCATCGCTAATTACTGCTGTACGTTTAATATAATTTAATCATTACATTTATATATACAAAAATAATAAGATTTATATCTAATATACATTATTTTTCTTATCACTCTGAATGTCCAAGCTGGAGCCCAGATACCTCCGAGTGATGCCCGAGACTCCATACATCGGTTGGTTCGATTCGATGACTGTCAGCGGAGTCTACAAACAGAAGCAGCAGTGAGTTGACATTTAGCGCTTATTTGAGTGCCTCTTGCAATCTTTTTATCGCTGTGAGCTTCTTGCTTCAGGCTTGGTTATTTGTTCCTAACTAATGACAGAGATCTGTGGCTGGCAGGGCATGAGCACTCGCTTATGCCATCACTCGCTTATGCCCTACCATTTCAATTATCAACAATAATTGGGCTCTAATCCCAATTATTAACAACAATAATCGGAGCTTACTGGATCTAGCCTTAACGCTGACAGAAGCTGTTAAAAGAGGTACTGTAGCACTTAAAGAGCTGCAAAATAACTGAAATTTTTCTACAACGACATACAAAACTGCTGACATATAGGTTTATCCTAATATCGTAACTTATAAATGAGATGAATTTGTTCTGAAGAAGCCCTCTGTTTTGCTGAGTTTGATAGATATCATTAGTCACTTAATTACTATTATAAATTTCTCTCCAACACTTCATCAAAACGCTATTTAATGAATAGATGATATAACATTGGGCTTGTGTTTTCCATTGGCGATTTTATTCCAATTTTTGATCAAATTTTTAGTCATTGTAGTCTTCAAGCTTCGGTTGGTGAAGTTGGCCACGGTAATGAAATTATTGTTTCGCAATAATTTTTTGTACTCTAAATCTACAAACTATGACCTTTCTGCTAAATGGAAATTTAATATTTTGTTGTACGTAGTGTAATTTATGAAATTTCGAAATGATTCTGTATAATTTAAGAAATGTAAATTGTATGTAAATTTAAGCGAAGTGTGTATATGTTTACAGAAATGTAAATTATATATGTAAGGTTGAAATTCTCCATAAAAGAAACGTAAGTTTCCTAATAATGCAGAAATATCTAAGGAAGAAATTTAAAAATGAATGCTCCAGCATGCGGTTTTATATTCGAGTAGGTCTTTGTTCAAGCGTCTCCAGCAACGTGGCATTGAGATTTTTCTCGTACTCGAGGATGCTTAATGTGTTGTAGATTTTGTAATGTGAAGCTGCTACTTGCTTCCCCTTTTGCATTTTAAGGGGAGCGTCTACCCTAAAATTGAAAATTTTTACTTTTTTGGTTTTCATACTAATTTTAAAGCTGACATTCTGCCCTATCCAACGGTACCACTGCCATCTCTCTACGTTGATTTATGATTTCACGACATTTCATGAAAGTGGGGCAGGTGGGGGAGTTCTTCAAGTAATTAGATAGGAACTAATTAGCTGGTGAGCTCTTTATATATAGTGTCTACTTGAATTGTGCTGCAGTTACGTGTTTAGTCCCATCTTAAAGCTGACATTCTGGCCTATCCAATGGTACCACTACCATCTCTGTACGTCGATTTTTACGTACACGACACTTCATGAAAGGGGGGCGGGGGGGAGTTCTTTCAGTAATTAGATATGAGATAATTCGCTGTCCACCACTACAAATATAGTGTTTTTGTGAGATCTGACTCAGTGTGCCTCCGGGCTTTGTAGAGAGAGATGCGCATGTAGTTGCTCCAATCATCCTTGAGTGGAATCAAGCTCCAGAAACGTTTAGTTTAGTATCTATGCTACATTGAGCGCATATTGTGGTGCGCGCGGGACTTTGTCGCGCTCTCCTCAACATTCACACTTATTGTCACTTAAAACCTATCTCCTCCTAGAGTTTTAAAGCTACAACAATGAGACATATACCATTCGATTTGCAAGGAATAGATCTACAAAACGATCTAGCTGTTTTTTAAATTTCGTCATAGTTTGGATTTTATTCCTGAAAAAGGGGGGGTGGAAAGGGGTAATATTGAAAAATTTCCGAAAACTTTACGAAAAATGCTCCCACACCCGCAAAAATTAGAAATTCAAAAAACGGCTAGGTCGTTTTATAGATAAAGATTTTACGCATCGAATGATATGTGTCTCGATGTTGTAGCTTAAAAATCCTAGGAGGAGATAGATTTCAAAAGTACCCCCTTTTTTGACCGTTTTCTATTAATTTCACGTTTTCTTTCATATTTTTCGAAAAATTCACATGAACAAAATGTGAGTTTTTTTCCATTTTACATATGTGTACCAAGTTTCAGAGTGATCCGTTTGTAAATAGCCCAGATAATTTTTGGGGTAGACTCTCCCCTTAATTTCAAACCCCCAAATTGCAATATTCATTGTAACTTCACTGTTCACTTCATTTCTTCTAAAACAAAATGAAATTGGAAAGCACTTTCCAACAATAAACATTATCGATACTTAAAACTAAAAACACTTTGTAACGTTTTCCATCAAGGGCACCGATACTTAAAGCTAAAATACTTTGAAACGTTTTCCATCAACGGCACCGACCAGTGAAATCATAAATTACTTAGAACGCCATTAAAATGCCACTAGAGATTTTTTCATTCATCAGTCATTTTCGAATTGACGGAGTAGTTGGTTACCTTTTCCTCCGTTACGAAAAAATATATATATAGTATTATTCGTATACTTTCAAAATGTATATAAAAAATTGCTCGAAATAATTGTTTCCGATTCCAGAATCACTGGCGACAGCAGCTACAAAGAAATTTACTTCCCAAGTGCCGATGTGACGTTTGAGTACAAAGCCTTCTGGCTGTTCAACAAACGCTCATTTTCAGTCATCTTTGAGGTCTACTCCAATGATTGCTACAAGGTATGGCTTAATTACAATATTTATATTTTTCTCTATTCATGACTGTTTCAATGCCTGAAAGACATGTCATCATCTTATTTTGTTTTTTAGCGACTTTTTTTTGCATCTGGCAGTGGTCGAGGACGCACGTAGTGTTTGCGGGTCCCAACTTTCTCACTTTTTACTATGCCGGTTTGACTTATCTCGCGAATTTTGTACCGAAACGATTTCAGTGAAAGGTTAAATGTTAGTGCAGTCAATCAAAATTGTGCGAATAGTAAGAAAAACGGCTAGTACAAGTGTTTTATTCCCGACAAATTCTAGTGCGTGAAACGAGGGCAAGTTTTTGAA